TACTGAGAGTAACCAGTTCCAACACACAACCACTGTTGTAGTTCCACATTCCACCTGACACACTCTATACAAGCAATTATGGATGTCGTCATTGTCCTAAGTGATTGAACTAGTCCAACTTGAAGCACTGGTTTGCAGAGTACCTTTACATCATTGTGGTCTATTCACCAAAATTCTATGGGTTCTTCGTTGATACTATCTTTTTCAACCCGTGTGCATTCATGCTTCCCAGATATTCTACCATCCTCTTTTCTTAGTGTTAATGACAATGTGAAAACTGGCACCTGTTTAGTGGCAGTCTTGGCTGTCCTTCAAGCTAGCACAGCACTGTTGAACAAAACTTTGCCAGCATTCCACCTCCTTTCCAGAATCACCATTCATCCAGTGATGGCTGCCTTCTAACATCCGGTTCCCCCAAATCCTTTAGGCTGAATATGATGGCTTGATATTGACAAATGCCTTCCCTCACTCTGGTGCAAGCTACTGCCATCTGTTGCCAGCCAAAGCTTTTTAAATGGCCTCCTGGCCACCCACCATGCTACCCTCTCATCCACTGCCTACACTGCAGCCACTGTGACCTTTCTGAAGTGAATATCTGATGAAGTTGCTCATTTACTTGAAATCCTAGTGGTGTCCTATTACTGTTATAATAAAGCCCAAGTTCCTAATATGCATCACAAAGCCCTCAATAGCGTGGATCCTGCCCATCCTCCTCTCTCCTCTCTAAGCACCAGTCACACAAAATTCTTTCCTGTTCCTTGGATGGTCCATGCCCTGTCTTATTCCTGGCCCTCGCATATCCTATTCCTCCTGCCAGAAACACTTTTTCTCCTTCCTGCGCATTTACATGCCAAGAAATGATTATTCTGAGACGGAAAAACAGACTTGCATTGATAATGATCATTCTTCCACATTACATATGTTTGGCCCTCTGTATTGTCAGGATCCTATAACTACAATGGCACATTTGCAAACTAAAGTTCTGAAGAATAGGATTGCATTTTGGACAACAGGACTGTCTCAGAACATCTTGGCTTTACATAAGTCTCATTTTGTGGCAGCAGACATTCAGAAACATGGCCTTCCCTGATCAGGGACAATGGATATAGTGTGATTCCAAAAGGGACAGAGGACAGCAGCTGCTGTAGAATCATGTTATGCAGTGGGCTTGACATTTAGTCCAGTTAGGTGGAGCGGGATGCTTTACTAAGGATTAAACTTGTGGGATTTTCTTATGCCTGCCCAATGAAGAGTTGCCAAAACTAAATAAAAACATAACACGGGAACCCAGAAGGGATAATGAGGGGGAAATACCAGATATAGGTGATGAGAGGATGAAGGCAGCAAACCACCTTGCCATGTATGTACCTATGAAAATATCCTGCATGATCTGCACATGTACCCCAGAACCTAAAATACAATAAAAAAGAGACTGAAAAAAAAACACAAAAAAACCTAACACATGTGAAAGGTGCACATGTGAGCATGTGCGCACACACAAACACACATACACACACACACACACACACACCTGTTTATTCTCCTTAGGATACAAATGATCTTTGAGGTTCCTAAAGGCTGCTCTCTCCTCTGAAGGAGGGAGAAAGTTAGAGCTCTCATGGCCCTTACCTACCTTAGGAGCTAGCCTTACAGTTAGAGAACAGAGCATAATCAGGCCCTTCATCAGGGTTAAATAGGAAATGCCTACCCTATAAGGAAGAACAGGACAAGGGGGTTCCAGATTCAGAATGAATGAACATGAACATGTAACCAAATTTAGACCTAACACTCCTGGGGCAAGTAGTCTGGGTTGTGGTGGAATTTGAGTACTAAGGAACATGTCCTGGAACCCCAAGCGAGATCAACAATGCCTAGCATCAGCTGCTCGTGTTACAGGAAAGGGGTCCTGATCCAGACCCCAAGAGAGGGTTCTTGAATCTTGTGCAAGTAAAAATTCATGGTGAATTCACAGTGCAAAGTGAAAGCAAGATTAAGAAAGTTAAGGAATAAAAGAACGTCTATGTTCTCCATAGAGTAGCCCTCAGGGCTGCTGGTTGCCATTTTTATGGCTATTTCTTGATGATATGCTACACAAGGGGTAGATTATTTATTCCTCCCCTTTTTAGACCATGAGAGTAACTTCCTGACATTGCCATGGCATTTGTAAACTGTCATGGTGCTGGTGGGAGTGTAGCAGTGAGGACGACCGGAGGTCACTCTCATCACCATCTTCATTTTGGTGGGTTTGGGCCAGCTCCTTTACTGCAACCTGTTTTATTAGCAAGGTGTTTATAACTTGTATTTTGTGCTGACCTCTTATCTTATCCTGTAACTCAGAATGCCTTAACCATCTGGGAATGCAGCCCAGTAGGTTTCAGCCTCATTTTACCTAGCTCCTGTTTAAGATGGAGCTGCTTTGGTTCACATACCTCTGACACTGGAATGCCTAGGACCCAGTTGTCAACAGAGAAGCACAGTGGCCTGAGAGCCAATGAGGCAATGTCCACAGCAGGCTGATAGCCATTCCTCACCTGCATGCGGGTAGAGGATAGCAGGCTCCTGGCAGCCACCTCAGGCTTTCTGGCCCTTATCCCAGCCCTAATTTTAAATCTATTTCTTAACTATTCAGGTAATTATGGGGAAAAGTGGTTAACTGGCAGCTTGTGAAAACCTGTTTCTGGTTTACTCAAAATCATACAATGAGTAACAGGCAGAGGCTAGAACAGAAAATGTGACAGACAGTAAAGACGAGTGGTACACCATGCCGTCAAAAACAGAAAAAGGGGCGAGAAAAGAAAGGCCCACTCCTTGGCCCATGATAGTCAAGGGCTGTTCCCTACGATGTTATTATCAGAGTCTCTGGTTCTCACTGGAGCTACTGGAAGTGATGCCAAATTAAGTCTGCATAAAGCCTCAGTGAGGCTAAAACAGTTTCTGGGCAGAAGAATGTGACACAGAACCAGGGAAATATGACTAGACCTCATTATCTTGGTGCCTTTGATAACACACTGGAGAGCAGAGTGAGGTTTTGAATGGGCTGAAATCTTCCATAAATGGAGTCTAAATGCAGGCTACATAACATCCAAAAACTCCTCAGAGAAATTCCTATTATGTACACGAAAGGGGGAATGCAGTAAGTCCCATTTGGCTGGGCAGGGAGCATTCTGTGCTCTGTGAAACTTGGCAGTTTCCGTGCTGAGTGCCAACTGCATGTTCCTACTAGACCAAGGCCCTAAACACAGACGGGCAAGTGTATTGGAAAATGAGCTAAATGGAGCAGTCAGGGCTGGGCAATTCTTTGTCTCTAGAACATCAAAACCACAAGGCAAGATTTTAATGAGAGTATCATTTTTGTAAAGTCCCTAACTAGTTATGAGCCAGTATGTTGATGAATATTACTCAGAGTTGCTATGGCAAAACAGACTGATCTTACCTCCTTCCATGAATGCCCACCGATACACAGCTAAAACCAAAAGTTAGCTGAGATGCATCACTAGTGACTCTCACTCTGTGAGACTGACACTCTCAGGGAAACCTCTGAATTTTAAAATAAGTATACAGTGAAATTAACCGTATTAGGAAATAAAGGCACACGGGTGAGGTAACTCAGCTCAAATGTCACCTGCTCAGAGAGGCCTCCCCTGAAGAGCTGAAAGCTCCACACTCCCTTCTTCATTCGTTAGTAACCTCTAGTTGCTCTTTCACCCATTAACTGTGATAACTTTCAAATGGTAATTGGTGGGTATTTATCCATCCTCAATGTTTGAATTTAAACTCCTAGAGACAGGAACTCTGCATGCTTCATTATCCTCTTCCTAACGTCTACATAGAGGCTGGTACAGAGTAAGCCCTCAGTGCTCTTTGACTGACTGCCTTTCCAAGGACCAAAAACAAAGAGTGCAGTTATCTGTAACTGAAGACTGTGGAGTCCAGAAAAACCAGCATGCACATCCGTAGATCAAAAACATCACGCACTGCAATGAGAAGTCTCTTTTACTGTAGACGTCATATTAGTTAAGTCCATGCCTGGAGGCAACATGGTGTGAAGCAACACCACCCCAAGGGTGGTCCGCGAACCAGCAGCATCAGCGCCACTTGGCTGTGTGCTGGAAATGCCATGCCCAGGCCCCGCGGTGGACCCACTGAGTCAGAATGTCTGGGGGTGAAGTCTAAGAATATGTGGCTTAATTAAGTTCTCCTGGTGATTCTTAAGAACGCTAACGTTTTGAGAACCACTGATTTAGAAACAAGTATTAGATTACCATGAACTGTGCTGCTGATCTTAACTGAGTGACTGTTATTCAGAAATAAAGGTGAAAATAAAAAGGAAATGTCATAAAGACTAGATTTTGCCAGGGAAAACTAACATGTTTTTGGTGGCATTTAGATTTTTTAAGTCAAGAAGGAGAGTAAATTATATGCAAAATAGTCTACATAAATAAACTCGGGACAGTCAGAATGTCCCCCCACAACTTCACCAGGGCCTCCCAGACCCACCTGAAAACCAGCAGCAGGCCAGGACCCTGGTATACAGAACTCTCACTTTACCTGTTTCCCTCTCCCTACCTGGGGCAACACCATCTGTGGCTCTTTCTAAGAATCGGGCGCAGTGGCTCACGCCTGTAATCCCAACACTTTGGGAGGTCGAGATGGGTGGATCACAAGGTCAAGAGATCAAGACCACCCTGGTCAACATGGTGAAACCCCATCTCTACTAAAATATAAAAATTAGCTGGGTGTGGTGGCGCATCCCTGTAGTCCTACTTATTCAGGAGGCTGAGGCAGGAGAATTGCTTGAACCAGGGAAGCAGAGGTTGCAGTGAGCTGAGATCATGCCACTGCCCTCCAGCCTGGCAACAGAGCAAGACTCTGTCTCAAAAATAAAAAGAGAAGAAGAAAGAAGAAGAAGAATCATCACTGCAACAGATGACAGGCCAGGACAACTCAGCAAGAACAGCCCCTCGCCCCACCCCAGGGATGAGAGGGGAGCCATGCCATACCGTGATTCAGATGCCTGACGCAGTCATTTAGGAGGGCACTAAACCTCTTCTGGTCGGCAGCCTCATGGAAGCAGAAGTAGCCATGTCTGAGAAAGGGCTGCCACAGGTACACTGGGAATTCCTTGGGCAGGACCACGAAGGGCTGAGTGTTCTCCTTCTCACTGGAGGCTAAAGAAATATTGAAAACACAAATACCTTTTAAAACATGTATCTTTTATTTCAAACATGTGTTTCAGGGCATGAGGGTAACTATCTGGGGCAGCCTATGGAATGGAAAGTTGGTGAGATATTTTCACAGGGCAGGAAAACTGGGAGCACCGGCTCTTCTAGCATCCCTCCACTAGCATCCCCTGTCCCAGAGCCCCAGCTGCCTGACCTCCTACCTAACACCACAGGGACAGTGAGGCCAAAAGGCACACAATCTTTCTTTTCTTTTTTTGAGACAAAGTCTCTCTGTCACCCAGGTGGAGTGCAGTGACACAATCTTGGCTCACTGCAACCTCCACCTCCCAGATTCGAATGATTCTCCTGCCTCAGCCTCCCACCCAGGTAGCGGGGATTACAAGCGCACACCACCACCGGATGTGGTGGCGCATGCCTATAATCCCAGCTACTCAGGAGGCTGAAGCGGACAGATCACTGAGGTCAGGAGTTCAAGACCAGCCTGGCCAACAAGGTGAAACACTATCATTTTAGAGACTGGAACTCATTTAACCAAGTGCAATATCACATAATAGGAATGTAATGCATGAAAAGGAGGAAGGTTTACATAGGGGTTCTGAAAAGTAGCAGTTTTGAAATGAGTTCCTTGGAATTGATTGAGGGAAGGGGTAAAAGTCCCATTGTGTAGGTCTTTAAAAAAAATTTCCTAGGCCAACATAGCACATTTTTTAACTCAACAGACTGAAGTTGAACATCTGCTGTGTTCCATGACTGTGCTGTGGGCTAAGGATACAAAGCTATGGAAGATGCAGTCTGTGTCTCCAGGCGCTCAGTGTGTAGCAGTGGTTCTGCTTCCTGGGGAGGCAAACTGCACAGGAACTAATCTCATTCTCAGGGAAAGGTAAGGAAGAGGGGCTCTCTAAGAGGCCATTGAAAGCACTGGGAATACCGGGAAATGAATCATAACCATAAGGGAGGTTACAGAACTGACTCAGTTACTGGCAAATTAATAAATCAGGATTGGCTTATATGAAGAATAAATTTCTGGGGATATATGGGAGCCCTGTTCCCATATATCTGGAATCTGAAGGTAACAGAGCAAAAGGCACTGTGAGCACAAGCTCTGACCCGCCAGGACCTAGCACAGTACTGGGAATGAATCAACATGAAAATGAGCAAATGAATGAGTGAATGAATGCTAGAGAGACACCTGTAGTTGTAACACAATATCTATTTCCCTTTCTGGGGGAGAATAAAGGCCCTGATTTTCAGGTGGGCAAGTGACTGCATAAAATAAGACTACATTTCCAGCCTCCCTTGCAGCTTGGTGAACCCACAGCTACTAAGTTCTGTCCAATAAGATGTCAGCTGAAGTGGCATATGAAAATTCCTGAAGGAATTGCCAAAGAAAGTGACTGTATCCTCCTCCTTTCCTTTCCTCCTCCCTGCTATCTGAAGTGAGAGTGCTATGTAGGGGCTCAGCAGTCACCCTGGACTCTGCCAATAATGGCCACAACCTAGAAATAAAGGGAGAGAAAGCGAGGAAGAACCTGAGCCTCTGATAAATTCAGTCCACACCAGCCCTGGACTAATATCCAAATACCTTTAGTGAGATAATAAAACTGTGAGTTTTTTATTGTATGCAGTGAACCAGATTCTAACCAATAAAATGCCACATAAATGAATTACTTTAGCAAAACATAGGGGTATTTTTTTCTGTATCAACTCAGCTGAACACTCTGTAAACAATACACTTATTGGCCAGGCGTGGTGGCCCATGCCTATAATCCCAGCACTTCCAGAGGCCAAGGCAGGAGGGTCACTTGAGCTCAGGAGTTGAAGACCAGCTTGGGAAACAGAGTGAGACCCTCATCTCTGCAGTTCTTTTTTTTTGTCCCCTCTGGGCATAGTGGCATGTAACTGTGGTCCCAGCTACTGAAGAGGCTGAGGTGGGAAGATTACTTGAGCCCAGGAGGTTGAGGCTACAGTTAGCCATGATTGCACCACTGCACTCCAGCCTGGACAACAGCGTGAGACTCTGTCTCAAAAAAAAAAAAAAAGGAATGCACTTATTCATAAGCCTCTAATGCTTTTTCTCAAGCAAGGTTAATTCCTCCCAACTTTATGATGCCTTTATTCTTTCCACAGAAATATCACAGTCAGTCTTCCTGACTGACATAGTTTTATCAAATGATCCCCCTTGCCCTCTCCAAGAATGTCACAATTTTGTACAACAAACCAAAAGCAACACTGACTCTTTGCATTTAAAAGCCTCGACAAGCCCATAAAATTCATTCCTACTGGCCTCTAGTTATCTCTCACTTAACCTTTTACGACAGTTTTCCAGATGCCATCAGTGAATTTTTTCCAAGTTGAGTTATAAGAATATCACAAACGATCTACTGTAGAATATTCTATTTTAAAAGTCAGAAGGCCACACCACACAATTTAAACAGTCATTGAAATTCCCCATCTAAAGCCTTGGCCAACTGGCATTAATCACACAGGACTTGTGTTTTTTAGTCCTTTTCATTCCTTACAATATGATTTCAGCAATATATCAATAAATATATTGTCTCTTCTGACTGATTTCATTGGAAAGTTTTCGAGAGATTTGGATGAGTCAACATATTGGTATTCCCATTTCTAGCTGCAGCTCCACCATCAAGGGCATATAAGTAGATATTAAAAGAAAATATAATAATATGCATAGTACACATAAAGTGTTGTTTTAGCATGAATTACTTAGTAATAATTTGTTTTGGTTTATGGTTCATGTGCCAATCCTGTAATTGTGTTATTAAAAACACTGTGCTAAGCAGTCAGCACCGAAATGACAATTAATAAAACGATTATGTTTTTCTCCATAAATTCTAATGGAATTATTATGCTCATGAATAAGAACCAGGGATCTCTTCAAGGACCAAGTAATTACTGTGTAGTATGATTTACACAAAGCCAGATGGAGTTATTACATTATCCACACTTCATGAATCTCTGTGAATTGCCCTATTTGGTCTATATATTATCCATCATTTCTCCACATGAAAAAAGTAGAATGAATGAGAATCAAAGCAGGGTAGGGCTAGAAAGACCCTTCTATGTTTTTAAGTTCAAAGCCCTGTTTTTGAGTTAGAGAAACAGAAACCAGAACTGTTCAGCAGCCAGCTAAGCTAAAGCATTTGGTAAGTAGCACAGCCAGAACTAGATAAAAATCCAATTTCCCAAACTCTTTTCATGGCAGCATCCCAGCTTTATTCATACATATGCAAATTAATGCATTTTTTTTTTAACACAGTAGCTATGAGTTACTGTAACACTTATTAAAAGTTGTGTATTTAGGGTACTTTGCTGCATATCATCCCAAAATTAGAAAAATCATATTCCCTGATAGGTCCAGGCTTGCTTACTAAAAGATGGGACTGTACATTTCAGGGACTGGGCCCTACCTGTTTATTTCTGCTGCCTTGTGGGGTACTATAAAAGCCGGCAATATATTCTAAAAGCTTCAAGATACCTGGCTGACAGCACACTTTCCACGTGCTAGAAACACAGAGACTGACTATGTATTATTGAATGGAATTAGAAATCACAGAAGTGGTAAAAAGTTTTCCTAAACTAGAAAAATCACATCTTCCATTTTTCTATGGGACATGGGTGTCTAGCCTAGGGTTTCTCAACCTTGGTAGTACTGATCCTTTATGCCAGATACTTCTTCATTGTTAGGGTCTGACCTGTGCATGCTCAGATGTTTTGCAGCATCCCTGGCCTCCATTCACTAAATGCCACAGCACCCCCCTTCCAATTGTGACAAACAAAACCGTCTCCAGATGCTGCCAAATGTCCCTGGAGGGAAATCCTTCTCCTTCACTGAGAAACATGACTCCAGCTAAACAAAGCAGCTTGGTCATTTTGCCTTGGAAAAGAATGATCAGCAACTCACCAAGAGGGTCTGGGAAATGCCTATCAGATAACAGATTATATTCATCTTCTGAGGTTAGCACCTTGCCACCGGCTGGAAGGATTCGGCTTTTAGGAGCAGCTCCTCTCTGATAGGCCTGGGGAAGAAAAAGCATACAGGAATGATATTTTTTCCCCGTTTGATTTTTGGAAAATATCAGGGTTATAAAAAATACACAGACTCAGATACCCCCAGAGATAGCAATCCCCATACTACGTTACTGAGTTACAGTTATTTATTCAAAAAATATTTTAATACTTTTGTGTGACAGTCACAACATGGTAAATCAGAGTCCCTAATCTCAGGGAGGAGAGTCACTGTAGATATGTTCTTGAATGTGGAAAACATAATCTCAGTAACTTCCAGAAAATCCGTATCACATTTACCATTTCAGATGCTAACACCTGAGTCATTCTGATAATAACCACAAAGGTAACGATCACACGAACACTGCACAGAGTGCTTGGTGGCTGATGTGGGCCACATATGATGACTAATGAGTCTCTGTAACACACAGCTGCAATGATGGTTACCATGGATTTTCATCAAAACATTAAAATGTTGGCATGATAAAATACGCTACTACTTTTCCCTCAGATGTGAAACTGTTTTGCAGTAAAATGGTTGGGATGGAAGCACAGCATTGTGACATCAGAACAAATTCTGCCCAGCAGACAAGAAGCTCTGCTATTTGAGACACAGAAAAGAGGCATTAGGAGTTGCTAAAGCAGTTTGGTAAGCAGATATGCCCACAAGGACATAGAGATAAGACAAAATTTAAGTATGTGCATCTGATGGGAGGGCTTAAGCCAAGACAAAATTTTGATACTAGTAACCTAAAGGCTAGTTGAGAATTGAAACCAAGAAATTTTGAGACCCAAAATCTAGAATATACTCTTGGAGATAACTAAACAATGTTGATCTGAGCAACATAGTCAGAGTAACGATAACACATTCTGCAGCAATAAGCTAGTGAAGACATCCAAACAAAACAAACTCTCAGGTATCTAAAAGACTTGTCTTTGTACTTGTAACAACCACTAATCAACTGCTTAAGCATGTCAGGGAACAAGACTATAAGAGAGAAGAATCTAAACTTGTATGATATTAAGAAGATTGAGAAGCAATTTGATTTAGACTGGATGGAAATGTGAATTGTATTATTAGTTGTAACAGGCCCCAGTATTGACTTTTGTAAGCATTACACCATTTAATCCTCAAAACAGTACTACACATTAGATGTTATCTCCATTTTTCAATTGGGAAACATGAAGCTCAAAGAGACCGAATAATTTGTCCGTGGCCCAGCAGTGAGTAGGTGACACATCCAGGACTCATACTCACGTCTGTCCAGCCCCAATGCATACAAAATAGAAACCGGTTATCAAGTGAGAATGTTTCACTGTTCCTGTTTAATTGCCAGCCAACACTGGACTCTAAATAAAATAATAGACAACTTACAGGTACTTAATGCTTAACTCTTAGATAAAATTTTACAAATTTCTATAAATTTAAAAAACAAGACATTATTAAAACTTTGAGAAATTATGACAAACTAATTCAGTCTCCATATCTTAACAATCCGAACAGGTTCAGTGAAACACTATGAACAAAGAAAAAACAGTGCAATGTGTAAACTGCAAGCTGAGAGAGCAAGAGTTTGATTCAAAATGAAAATGAAATTTCAGTTAGTGCTGTATGCAGTGAAAAACTTCAATAAATCCAAGAACAAGATCTAGGGCTGTGTCCTCCCAGTGAGTTAGTAGTAATCTTACCAACGACCGCTCCACACTGGGCTCCACCTTTACCACAGGCCCAGCCATATGCTAATCGCTTCAGTACATTCCTTCACTTATTCCTCTCAACACCAAGGCAAAGAAATCACACTCACCATTTTACAGATGAGAAAACAGAGGCTCAAATTTATAACTTGGGCAAGGGGGCATATCTAGTAAGCGGTAAAGGTATGAGTCAAAGCCCATAGCATGAACCATATTACGCTACACTGTCCCTCCTCAGGATCCTCCGAAAGGACACGCTAACGGGCCATACAAAACATACGGTGAGTTGTTATTATCATCATTATTTGTAGTGTATTGATACTTTGTTGCTAAGTACAAATTAAATGTTGAAAAAATCCTAATATTGATAAGCAGAGAAAATATTAGCTTAATAAATATTTAAAAGAGTAAGTCTACCCAAGAGAGCACTTGAGCCTTGCCTGGTAGCCTGTGAAATAAGTTTGTAGTATATTTTGTTTCTATTTTCCATCAGAAATGGGAAGGAAACAGATTGGTCTGTCAGTCTGAAGCCTCTTCCTAATGGTTTAGCATCAGAAGTAGTCCTCAAAGTGCTCTGTGAAGGTTGTCTTGACTATTCTTTTTTTTCTTCTTTTTTTTTTTTTTTTTTTTTTTTAGACGGAGTCTCACTCTGTCACCCAGGCTGGAGTTTAGTGGTGTGATCTCGGCTCACTGCAACCTCTACCTCCCGGGTTCAAGTGATTCTCCTGCCTCACCCTCCCAAGTATCTGGGACTACAGGAGCACACCAGCATGCTCAGCTAACTTTTGTATTTTGAGTAGAGATGGGGTTTCACCATGTTGGCCAGGCCAGTCTTGAAATCCCGACCTCAAGTGATCCGCCTGCCTTGGCTTCCCAAAGTGCTGGGATCACAGGCATGAGCCACTGTGCCCAGCACTCTGGACTACTCTTGAGCTTAGAGGCCAGAGAGCATAGTTTTAAATCTGTTACTATTCTTCACTGATAAATAGTAACTGTTCATTTCAAAAGGAGCTTGAGGGTCTATGTAGACTAAAAAATGTGTACAGTATGAGATCTGGAAGGATACTGGGATCATTTGACCTAACTGTCTGGCTTAATTGAGGCCTGGAGACAAGAAGTCACTTGTCAGTGAGTTCACTTCTAGTTAATGGCACAACTTAACCTACTCTTTGCTTTGCCAAATTCGCTGCCTGATATACCACACTACCTCCCTACATAAGGAAAGAAATGGGAACCAATAACAACTGAAGTCCTCCCAGGTGCTGGATGCTTTACTCACATTATCTCATTTTCTCCACATTTTACAGACAAGAAAAATAATGAGATAACCAGAAAAAAAGTTAAATGAAAAAAACCTCCATGGGAATAAAGTATGTGAGGTGTTCTGAATTCCTAGGAACCCGGGCAAACCCAGGAAGATTCAAATTTAACAACAACCTACAAAATAACTCCCCAGCCACCTGTCATGCACAGGGCTTCAGAGTGGGAAGACAGGGATGCAGAGCAGAGCTGGGGAGACATCAGGACAGTGGCTGAGAAAGACCTCAAGGCTGAATTATCATAGGAAAGGCTCGTATGCCAAATACTGGTCCTTCTATCTGTATAAACACTTGCAATCACTTCTTCAAAGTCTATCTTGTCACTAGATGGCAAGCATCTTATCAACTGCTGTACACCCAGAACCTTGTGTAACCCTTGGTATGCAGTAGGCATTCAATCAATAGCTGTTAGCTGAAATGGGTACCGACATGCATGAGTGCTTATTGAATGAATCAGTCTCTAAGGAGAGGGCACACCAATCAACCCTAACAAATTTTTAAGAATAGTTCAAGAACCAGTGGTAGCAAAGAAGTGTCTTACCTCTTTATTCTCATAGCTCTCCACAGCATAATCATTTTTAACTACAATATATCTCTCCTTCCACTTCTTTATGTCTTCAGAAAATTGTGACAGCTCTGCTTCGTACAAAATAGTTCCAGGCGTCAATGGTGGCTTAAAGAAGATGAATACAATTAACTATCAAAAAAAAAGATAACATATCTTGCTACCACTAAGTTATCCATGATATTTCAAGGAATATTTAGAAAACTATCTTCCGGGAAACGGTTGCTTTCTCCTCTCCCCCAACAATTTCCCTTTCCTACTCCTCTTGATCCAATGCAACTATTTGTCTTATTAGTATTTTTACGATTTTCATTTCCCTCAATTATGCTAAAGGAACAGAAGCATATAGTAGAAGGAATTACAGTAATATGGTTATTATGCCTTATATACATGTGGCACTCAATAAATGCTTGATAAACTCCATAGGAGAGAGGGAGTGAGGCAGGAAAGCGTAAGTGTGAATATCTACCTGGACACCCTGAACATGTCTCAGGGTTAAACCCCACAAAGCAGGAGAATTAACAGGCCATTCCCCTATGCATTACACCTGTGGATGTAGCCTCCAATGCTCACCGGTTTTCCTAAACCCAAAGCCATGGTCCCTGTTCCATGCCACTCAAGATCATGTTTGCTATTTGCTTAAAGAACAAGCAGGTATCAAGCCAGAACACCTCAGTTCTACCTCTCCTACTTAACAGTTTCAGGATTTCTCATTAACCATGGCGATTTATGTGTCATATGGCCATTCCCATTAGATTCCTAGTTATATCTTCCATTGGGTTAATTGTACAAGGATAATTCCCATCCTGCTTCATTGTGCAATTCTCATATTATTTCAAAATATACAAATGGGCCTCTTGTCTTTTACATGTCACTGAATTTAATCTATTTTCTCTTTATTAAAAAATCACAATGCTTTCAGAAACTTACCCCTCTACTTTCAAGTAAAATTTTAAATGAACCATACAGAAAAAAATAGATATGCCAATCTCTTTTAAGAATCATCTAAGGGATGAAACAAATTCCCTTCCAAATTCCAGTGCTTAATATTCTATCCTGACAGATAATGAAGCAGTCTTCTATCTTGCTTTTAATGAAAAGGTAAGAATCTCTTACCTTTAAATGAGACTAAAACCATGGTATAAGCTGAATTTCATAGTTCTTACATGCAGCTTTTCTTAAAACCTGGGCCATTTCATCAACTGATAAGCTTGTTAAAAATGGGACTTCACCATAGACTTACTATATCAGGATCTCTGAGGCTGTGGGCTAAAGTGTGCATTTTAACAAGCTCCTAAGTTTTGAGATCACTGTTTTATGAGGGAAAGCAATCAGTTATCCCCATATGCTCATGCTGCTAAATGTATTGGTTAACTTCTCAGCATTATGTGAATCACTTATCACTTATTCTCTCTTGAAACCCCTTCTTTTTTATTTTTAGTTTTTTGAAATTTTATATTCAAGGGGTACAGGTGTATTATGTATAAGGGTGGAGATTGGGCTCCTGGTGTGCCCATCACCCAAATCTTGAGCATTGTACCCAATAGGTAATTTTTCAACCCTCACTCGCCCTCCACCTTCCCCACTTTTGGAGTCTCCAGAGTCTATTCTTTCCATCTTTATATCCATGCGTACCCATTATTTAGCTCCTGCTTGTAAGTGAAAACAGGTGGCATTTGATTTTCTGATTCTGAGTTAGTTCACATAGGATAATGGCCTCCAGATCCATCCATGTTGTTGCAAAGGATAAGATTTCATTCTTTTTCATGACTGTAGCATCCTGTGGTGTATACATACTACATTTTCTTTATCTAGTCAACCAATGGTGCACACGTAGGTTGGTTCCAAGGCCTTGCTATTACAAACGGTGCTGTGATAAACATATGCATGCAGGAGTCTTTTTTATATAATGATTTCTATTCCTTTGGGTAGATGCCCAGTAGTAGGATTGCTGGGTCGAACAATAGTTCTTTTTTAGTTATTTGCGATACTTCCACACTGTATTCCCTAAAAGTTGAACTAATTTACATTCTCATTCACAGTGTATGAGCATTTCCTTTCCTCCACATCCACATCATCTGTTATTTTTTGACTTTTTAATAAGAAAATGACATTGGTAATTTGATAGGAATTGAATTGGAGTTGTATATTGCTTGGGGAATATAGTGATTTTAATGATCGTGATTCTTCCAATCTTGAGCATGAGATGTGTTTCCATTAGTTTATGTTGTCTACAATTTCTTTCATCAGTGTTTTGTAGTCCTTATAGAGATCTTTCATCTCCTTCATTAAATGTACTCGTGTGTGTGTGTATGTGTGTGTGTGTGTGTGTGTGTGTTGGGTGGGGGTGGCTATTACAAATGGAATTGAGTTCTTAATTTTAAAACCCCTTTTTTATTTGCCTTCTGGGACATTATACTTTTCTGATTTTTCTCCTACTCCATAGACTGTTTCTTCTTAGTCCATTTTGCTGGATCCTTCTCCTTTTCCTGAAGGGGTCAATGTACTATTTCTTTTCTCTGTCTATATTCTTTCCCTCTTTTATGGCCCATGCCTTAATACCAGTTATAAGCTAACAACTTCCAAATTTCTGTTCTCCAGACTCAATCACTCTGCTGAGCTCCAAATGAAAACATTCAATGGCCTATTCAAAATTTCCACAGGTATATATCAAACTAGCATCTCAAACTCCACATAGTCAAAAGGGAACTTGTGATCCCATTCACCCCGACTCTTCCTTCTAAGTAAAAGACAACTACATCCATTTATTTGCTCTGGTCCAAGAAGTCATCACGGATTTCTCTGTTCTTCTATTATCTCACACCCAATCCAACAGTATGTTCTGTCAGCTCTATCATAAACACTTCTCTTCACAACCATGGCCATCACCACCCTAGCCCAATTTGGCATCATTCTTCCCTCGGATGCTACAGTATCCTGCTCACCAGTTTCCATTCTTCCCTCTTGCCCCATGGTCTGTTCTTTACAGAGAGGCCAGACAGATCATTTAAAATTATATGTCACTCTGGGCTGGGCATGGTGGCTCACACCTGTAATCCCAGCACTTTGGGAGGCCAAGGCGGGCAGATCACAAGGTCAGGAGTTTGAGACCAGCCTGACCAACATGGTGAAACTCCATCGCTACTAAAAATACAAAAATTAGCTGGGCAAGGTGGTGCACACCTGTAATCCCAGCTACTCAGGAGGCTGAGGCAGGAGAATCACTTGAACCTGGGAGGCAGAAGTTGCAGTGAGCCAAGATCGTGCCACGGTACTCCAGCCTGGGTGACAGAGTGAGACTCTGGCATTTATTATTATCTTATGTCACCTGATTTTAATGTTTATTGTCTGTTTCCTGCATATGAATATAAACTCAGGAAGGCAGAGAACTTGTCTTAATTCCCCAGTTCTTGGACTACAGCCTGGCACATAGTTGGTGCTAATAAACATTTGTTGAGGTGGTGGTTACTTATTATAAGGGAGCAAAGGAGTAAGAATAAATTAGGGGATTCAAAGAGAAAATCCTATTTAATCAATGACCAAAATGAAAATGCCCGTAGTGCAAGGCACTGAAATAACTTTTAAAAACTAAACTTCACTAGAGTGAGTCACATTTCTGATAGCAAAGCATCCATGTGGGAAAAATACATAACAATACTGGATTCATGCTAATTTCCTTTTTATATGATTTATATTAGCAACAATAAATCATACATTCTAACTTCCAGGCAAATATAGCATTTTGAGCATGAAATGATTTCAGAGCAGAGTTTTTAAAAACTGTCATTCAAATTATTGTTTATTTCAGAAATATTGTGTGCTATACAGCTTTCTTCAAGGGGAAAATCCTATAAACCCAATATCCATGGCTTACCTTGGTCTTCAAAATCTGTGATGTTAAGTCTCTTTGCTGTTCTACTTCACTGCGCACATGATTGCAGAAAGCCACAGAGTACTGCCGACTGTAGTAGGGACTGAAGTTTTTGATGGCAGCCTCAGTTTTCCCTAGAAAAATATGGGAATTAGAATTCTGAAGTATAGCACAGGATATACTCCTAACTACATAGTTCCAAAACCATCCCTCCAGTCTCTCTGTTTCCATTCCCCCAGTTGCCCCTGTTTCCCAGGGATTTGCCTGTAGCCTGCATTCCTGGAGAACTTGGATACCTGCTGCACAGGCTCGATCTCTCACTCCCTTCTGGCATCATCCTCAGAGGCTTCACAGACCCTAAGGACCATCCATCAAGTAACCTAAAGAGTTTTGCTTTATTTTATGTCAATGATCTATCGTCATAGCCATAAACTCAACCATCCTTCTAATCCTTCTAAGACTCCTCTTCTACCCCACCCTCTCTCCACTTCAACTTGCCCTTTACTCCCCTTGACCTCTAACCATTCAGCTCCTCCTTTCAAACAAGAATCCCAGGTGTACCCTTCAATTCTGCATGCACATCACTCCCTTTTTCTTCAGATCCCTGAGCCCCCACCTCTAGTCTTGTGACTCACGGTCCTGGATAAAATCAACAAAGTGTTTCCTCTCATTCTGCTCCAATATTTCTGGTTTAAAATTTTTTCTGTGATTCAAAGCAGTATATAACTACCACAAGATAGAAGGGGAAACTTTGGTATAAGAGCCAAGAGACCTGAGTTCAGGTCCCGATTCTAACTGTGAGGCAGAAGCCACCTGTACAACCTCAGTCAAGTTGTTCGACTCTCGAGGCTCCTGCATCCTAACTGTAAAGGAAGGTGCTCACTAGTCCACACATTTCTTTGGATCTGTGTGCCATTGAAGTATAAGCACAGTACAAAAGTCCAGCTGCCTCATGACAGTGATCAGAAACTGCAATGTACTGAATAATCTCTCAGCACCAGAAGTAAATCAAACTGAGTATGAACCATGTTGGGGAAGCCTGAGGACTTCAGATGGAGGGTCAGGGAGAGTCAGACACCTGAAGCATTCTTGTGCCTTTCCAATCTGTACTTAGCTTTAGAGAGTATGGGAGTGGCAAAGGAGAAAAGAGAGAAGGAGGAAGAGAGGAGAAAGGGTGCAGGAGCATTCTCACTCAGATTAGAAACCCTCACAACATTTCAAGTACTTGTTGCAGGGTACAGAAAGAAACAAAAGCTTCACTGACTGTGCTCACAAGCAATTAATCCACAGAACAGGGTATAGGTTGAGGAAAAATACACCCAATGTAATATTCCAAAATATTTTAAAATACTTTCATGTGCATTCGACATCATTTTTTGCTTTTAAAATTTGGTATTATAGTCAATAGAGAGATATTAAAATATAACACACTGGCAAGATTCATTTAGAGCTATACTGCATGTAAAATTTCAAAAATAAGTGAAGAGTTCTAACCACATAGATTGAGGTACTCAATAGGAAAGCCTCGAATCCATAGCAACCCATTTCTAAGCCTACAGAACCAGAGCCAAAGACACCCATAGTGTATGAATACTCTCCATATGCAGAGGATCCTACTTTTGTTTGGGCATTTAGGTCTTATAACGCCCATATGAGGTAAAGAGGAATTCTTTCATAGTCACTTAATAACATGACATTTACGGTCATGTTTATGAGCTTTAATAATTATTACTTATAAGGTGCTTTGAGACCCACTAATAATAGATTCTGTAGAAATCCAAATAAAAGCTCCTATAATTCGAATCAGGCATGCTTTTGCTTGCTCTGCGAGTTTATGGTATTGCAATTAATCAGTATTTGCATAATACTTTAATATACTCGGCTTATATTCACCTAATTGGTTATTATGTTATCAGCTTTTATGCAGTGCAATTCTCTATGCTTGTCTATAATTTTCTTACATAGGAGTGGGACAGTGTGGGAATTCCCACAATGAGAACAAATCTCACTTTACTAAAACATATAAATTATGAATAAATAAAATTTTCCCTTTAGGTCCAAGAAGATAGTTTGGTCTATCAGAAATGTAGTCTGTTAATTTCTGATGTTTATTTTTGTACTCTTGAAAGCATTTGGATTGAAATGAAAGGAGGTGGACGTCATTTTATGATGAACTCTATAAAGCTTTGAAAGCTGATTTTCTGCCACATCACCAAGCCTCCCCCAGGGACGCTGTGCTTCTGATGAGGTGCCATAATGCTATCTTCTCATGTATGAGAAAAATGCTTCTGTGATTTGAATATCTGCACACTGTCCCATTAACACATCATCCACCAGGTAGCATTTATAAAAAAGCAATTGCAGCTTCCTTAGGTAATTAATCTAACAACTAGTTCAAAATATGTATGAAATAGCTAACAATATCACATGTTCTGGGGTGGGGGAATAACCTAAAGTTATTCGGCAAGTGTATCTGGGTTTTAGATTAAACCTATCTAAATCCAAATAAATAAGTACCCGATGTAGGGATGCTAAGACTGAGAGAAAAGTCTGTGTTGAGGCAGGGGATGGTCTGGCTTGCTGGCTCATGCTCATAAGCCACCACTTTGGAAAGCTGAGGCAGTAGCACTGCTTGAGCTCAGAAGTTTGAGGTTGCCATGAGCTATGACTGCACCACTGTATTCCAGCCTGGGAAACAGAACAAGACTCCATGTCTGATTTGGAAAAAACTAGTCTGATGTCGGAGCAAAATGCCACTGTGATTAGGAAGATGGACTCTGGAGTCAGATAGACAGGTTCAAATCCCATCTCTACTACTTACCACTGTGGGATCTCATGTGAGTTCTTTCTTTCTGCTCACATGTTAAATGAAGAAAACAAGAGTAGCAGCCTCATAAGGTTATTCTAATGATTCCATACACAAATGCGGTAAAGTGCTCAGTACAATAGCTGGCACATACAAAATGTTCAATAGTTGATCATAATTAAAAGGATGATGATCATGATGATGAGGGTGTCCCTTGGGCAAGCACCAGGATAAAGTCCTCAAGCTAAACTAAAGAATTAAGGAGAAGAAAAAAGTAGGTTGTTTACTGCAACTCTCACACTAGGGCCATCAATACAATCTACATTTTCACAAAGGTTCAGCATAGAATGCCCTCAGTGCATTCCTGAATTAAAACCAACATCGACATTAACAAACTGAAGCAAAAAGTGTAAGTTAGGGGCTGTGTTTCATTGAGCTTTTCTCTCTGAGCCTCAATTTTCTCACCTGTAAAATGAGGATAATAAGATGCCCATATCACAGGGCTTCATGAGGAGCAAGTAAAATATTCTGCATATTGAAAACTGTCTAGGACAGTGCTTGATACATATTAGTCAACCAATCAATTTTGACTACTATTTAATATTCCACAATGAAAAAATTCAAAAAAGTGAATCAGCCCACAGGGGCCACACAAAATATCTTCAGCTAAAGCTACATTGTTCATCGCAGTTTTCAGGATTCTTAAGCAATGAATTATCTTCATATCCCTGCCACCAAATTTAGTATCACATTCTCTTTCCTAAATTGTTTATAAAACACAGTGCCAGGTCTTCTACTGAAAGGTTACTCAATAATGAAAGACTAAAACCAATGGAAGGGCTTCTTCCACATTTTGGTATATCAGCATTTTTGGCACAGGCGTGTTTCTCTAATCCTACTTGTTTATTACAGCTTGTGCTGGGCATTGTTAGTGCAGTTCACTTGACCAAGCTACTCATAACACCCTTCAAGGTAATCATCACTGATGCTAAAAGAAGCCGCTTGATATGGTTTGGATCTTCTGTCCCCTGCAAATCTCATGTTGAAAGGTAATTCCCAGTGTTGGAGGTGGGGCCTGGTGGAAGGTGTTTTGGTCACGGGGGCAGATCCCTCATTAATGGCTTAGTGCAATCCCCTTGGGGATAGGTCAGTTTTGCCCCCTTGGTTCACTTGACAGCTGGTTGCTTGAAGAGAGCCTGGCACCTCCTCCTCTCTCTTGCTCAGCTCTTGTCATGTGATGTACCTGCTCCTAGTTTGCCTTCTGCTATGATTGTAAGCTTCCTGAGGCCCTCACCAGAAGCACATGCCAGTATTATGCTTCCTGTACAGGCTGTAGAATCAAGAACCATGAGCCAATTAAACCTCTTTTTTATTTTCTTTCCTATCTTTTTTTTCTTTTTTTGAGACAGTCTTACTCTGTCACCCAGGCTTAGAGTGCAGAGGTGCAATCACAGCTCACTGTAGCCTTTACCTCCCAGGCTTAAGAAATCCTCCCATCTCAGCCTCCTGAGTACCTGGGACCACAGGACTGTGCCACCACCCCTGGCTAATTTTTTTTTTTTTTTTTTTTTTGAGACAGAGTTTCACTCTTATCCCGCAGGCTGGAGCATAGCTGCGCAATCTTGGCACACTGCAACCTCCACTTCCGGGGTTCAAGTGATTCTCCTACCTCAGCCTCCCGGGTAGCTGAGATTACAGGAATGCACTACCACATCTGGCTAATTTTGTATTTTTAGTAGAGACAGGGTTTCACCATGTTGGTCAGGCTGGTCTTGAACTCCTGACCTCAAGTGATCCACCCACCTCAGCCTCCCAAAGTGCTGGGATTACAGGCATGAGCCACCATGCCCACCCTAAACTTTTTTCTTTATAAATTACCCAACCTCAGATATTTCCTTATAGCAATGGAAACAAATTATTAACACATCTCTTTGACAACTCTGTCCACATAACTTGGAAAATTAATAAAAATATCTACTGACCCCCTTAAAGCCATTAAATCTATACAGGCTCAAAAACTCAGCATTAATTTGACTCTTTCTCCCCCATTCCCAGATTCAGTCATCAGATGCTGCCTCTTTGATTTCCAGAAATTTCTTGAATCCATTTCCTTTTCCCCATCCCAACCACCACAACTTTAATTAAGCCTCTATCTCTCAATGACATTTTAAAAGTATCTTAGGCCAGGCATAGTGGCTCACACAATCCCAGCATTTTGAGAGGCTGAGGTGGGCAGATCACTTGAGGTCAGGAGTTCAAGACCAGCCTGGACAACATGGTGAAATCCTGTCTCTACAAAAAACACAAAAATTAGCTGGGTGTGATAGT